ATTAAATTATACTGGCTGTCTAACATTTCTCCATGACCAACGTGGCTTTTTATTAGAGTCTTATCTATGTAAACACAAGTTGGAGAATGTCCAGAGCACTGGATCCACATTACGAAGCCACTTATAATGATACACAGCAATTTTTCCTTATTGAAATTGTTACATTCAGTAATAGCGCTCATTTGCTTACCTAGCCTTGGAGATGATATGTTCACATTGTTCTCATTATTTCTAATGTACTTTTCATTCCATATCATAATAATTCCTCAGTGGCTTTTGACTTAAAGAGCAGCCCCATATAACAACACAATCTAAAATCTTCCAGGACTGGGGACTTGCTAAGATACTGGAGAAAACTGATTTTATTCACTCCAGATCTCATAATCCTGTTTGCATCAGCCAGCAATTGTGTACTTTATGTATAAGATAGCAAGTAGTTAAATGAGGCTACAATCCCATTAATAAATTTGGATGATGCAATTTGCAGCTGCCTGAACAGAGTTTTGGCCAGATACTTGCTAACCTCTCTGCACAGAGCTTTAATGGGCTGCAGCAGGAGCTATATATTATCAGATCCTTTAAATTCTGAATTGATTCAGTCTTCACAGGTTAGTCTAAACTGTGTAGATTGGACTGATAAGCAAGCAGACATTCACTTTTGATTCTGCAAATGCAGCCATATGCCTGCAGCAGCCCAGAACAGAAGCCAGGGATTGCTAGAGCATACCTCCGGGTTTGGCTGCAGCAGACAGCTTGGGCCAAAGCTAGCCTGCCACCCTCCAAGGACAGATTTGCAAGGGAAATACAAAGCATCCTGGGATGCTGGCGGACTGCAAGTTAACTTGAATCTGGAGGGGATCTGGGACAAAAGTTCAATAAATCAGTTAAGTCTGATACTACATCGATCTAGGTTTATCTTAAACTGGTTTCAGCTGTTTTAAAAGCAGTTTATACACACTGAACTTCTGTTGTGTTAGAGACTTGAACCAGTTTCCAATCACTTATCAGTTTATGTAAAATTTCTGTCCCTAGCCCTACAGAGATCGGATTGCCATTCCCTGTGCATGATTATATTGTGCCTAGGACAGAGTGAGAGTGAGAACAGAAAACAATCAACAGCACCACTATCACCACAACCACTTAGCAACAGAGTCCCTCAGCTACTAAATAGGATGAGGCTAGTTCCATTTGCTCTGTGTAGGCATTACTTGCTATTGATGTGTATTAAAGCAAATGCTGAGTTTGCAATTAGAGCTTTGCAGAACCCAGAAGTTTCTCTAATTTTAGCACAAATGATTACTCAAGGAAAAAGTTGTCACAAAATAACACCCAACACTCTCGTTCGATATCCTTCATAGATATCAAGAACACTTAATTATCTCCATTTTACAAACAGAAACATTCTAGCAGAGAGAGAAAGAGTGACATCCCAGTCATCCAACATTTTAGTAGCAGAATTGAAAATCAAATAAAACTCAAGTCTGCCAATCCCAACCCATTTTTCATCCTACTAGTACCACAGTATTTTTCCAGAAACAGGTTATTTGCTAACACCTGTTTGCTACTAAACATTCTTCTTTTAATCCAGAAGAGGAACAGAAGGAAAACCCAACACAATCACATGATGTGTGTGATCAATACCCACAGAGCACAGCACAACTAACAAATGGTAAAGCACAAAACAGTTCAAACAAGCCATAAACTGAAAGTGATTAATCCAGATAATTTAACAAATTCTTATTGATAATGAATTATGATGACTTTTGATGAACAACAAGAAAGATTTCTATACCTCCCTGCCTGCCACCTGACACCACCAGGGAAGGAATCCTGCCTGATCTGCACAACAAAGAGCAACTCATAAAGACACACTCATGGACCCAGAGGAACAGATTTCCATCTTGAACTTCATTTTTCCACAGAGGAAGCTGATTTCCTACCTATGGGGACTTTTTACCATTAATTTTCCCTGAGCCTGATGAATGGCATGTGAGCCTGAAAGCATACAGAAAAAGATCTTTTATTTTTGCACTTCCTTAGTTGGTCTAATAAAAAGGTATTGTCTCTGAACCAAGAGTTCTAGATTTTTGCATATCAATAATGAAAACATTTCAAACCAAGTCTCATTCTCAAAACCTCAAAGTTAGATAGCAAGCTGAATTTCACAGAAAAAGACACAACTATAGTAAATAAAATCATATTTATACTGAAAGCTCACCTTATCTGGCTGCAACACTCTCAAACATACTATGCCCTTTAACATACCCAACTGGAAGCAATAGTAAAGCCCTCACAATGCAGACATAAACTAAACTAACTAAGCACCTTGATACCCACACAAAGCAGAGGGCTTCAGGTTAGCTAAAGCTGTGTGATTATTAGGCCCAGCTGAGAAAGGGTCAGGTGATCCATATACAGGGTTCAGAACTCAGCTTGAAGGGAGCTGAAGAAGGAAGAGAGGTTCTTGTAATAAGTACAGAGGCTGAGGCCAAGGCCGAGGCCAGCGGCTGACCAGCTAGCCATCTTCTCAGTACAGGTGAATGCAATGGAAATAGCCCTAGGAAACTGTAGCCTGTGACAAGCACCATCATTTCTGTGGCTATTTTTTGGTTTTGAGTTAATCAAAGTCTATCTCGAGAGAAGAGCCTGAAAGATACACAGGTGTGGTGCTGAGTTTTTGCTGGGCTAGCCTGGGCTTGTGGCATGCCATTGCAGGGAGAATTATCTATAATTGTTTATTTTACTTACGGTAGCATAAAGGCTTTACTGTGATGTGTGTTTACTAAATAAATATGTACTAAAGCTGTTCCTTCCCTGATGAACTCACAATCTAAATGCAAAAGACAAAGGGAAGCAGAAATTAAACAAAATGTTCTGTTTCACAGATACCAGGACTGAGGCAGAGTGATTAAGTGATTTGCCCAAGGTCACACAGCGGTTTCTAGCACAGGCAGATTCAACCCAGGTCTCTTGAATTCCAGTCTGCTGCCTGATCACAGGACTCTCCATTGTATAGCAGACCAAGATTGGTATAACCATCTGTAATCTGAGGCCAAGTAGAGACAAACAGGCATTACACGTAACCTGGTATAAGTGATCAGAAACCGGTCTAAGCCTGTAACAAAACAGAAGTTTGGGGCACATAGACTGATTTTAAAATGTTGGAACACGGAATATGAGGGTGCTTGTCTGCATAATCAACATTTACCCACTAACAATGTTCCTGGTTTAATTTTCCTTTCTTAGTTTATGACAACTCAGGAACATGGATGTGATACATCATGTAACGGCTTATTATGCTATAACTAGTAAAATATGCTAGGGGGCACGTCAGAACAATTTTACCCTCCTGCCCTTTCACTACTATTTTACTGCCAGGTGGCATTTTAGGACAAGATTTGATATTTTGGTTGGTTTATTTTCTTGGGTCATGCTGGGTTCCTTTTTGGGGGGGAATTGGTGGTGGCTTTGCTTGAGAGCCATGGGTTTTGGGGGTGGGGAGGGGGTGAGTTCAATAAGCAGTGCTGCCCATCTCCCTGGCGAAGCCTCCCACTTTTTTCTGGGAGCTTGTTGAATGGGGCAGTGCTGGTTGGAGCGAGAAATCTTTTCATGCAAAGGTCTGCAAGAGAGCCTGCCTGCCTCCCCCTCACAAGTCTGGATTGGCGTTGGGGGGCTGTACCACAGGCCTCCCAAAGGGGCCATCCCCCCTGCCTAAGCCTGGTCCCAGAGCAGTTCTGCCCCCCACTTTTTCTGCACTCTTGTTGCACCAGGCACTGGGTGGGGTACATTTAAGGCTACACAAGGATACACAAAGGGTCTAGCTGCCCCTGCCTCCCTGTGTGTTGGCATCTGAGTATCATGTACCCAGGCTACCCAAGCTAAAACCTGAATGAAAACATTACTAAAGGACTTTTTTATGTAAAGCGGAAAGAATCCTGTATCTCCTGTCGTTTGTATTCTTATGTCAAAAAGTAGGACTTTTTCCAAAGCTGAGAATCAACCTCTACCCCCCAAGCTTGCCCCGCTTCTCCGGTACTCCTGTTCCTTCTAAACCTATTTATGTCCCCAGCAGTAGGGGTGTGTGAAACAGGCTGTATTCGGTTCGGATTCAGATTTGGCCTGAATCGGGGACAGTAATTCAATTTGTTGATTCGGATCGCTGTTCTAATTCGATTCAGCCAAATCCGAATCTGAGGATTCAATGCTGATTCAGAGAATCAGTGATTTGGCCATAGACACAGCTTTAAATGTTTTTCTATGTACCTCAGGGTACCAGGCATGGCTTGTGAATGCTGCAATGGTGGGGCGGATGGAGCGTCCGACAGGAGCGCAGGGGAGACGCACCCTGCGTGCTCAGTGATGAACCCAGAAGTGGATCAGCGGCCCCCCCCGCGGCCTCCCCCCCCCCCCCCCCCCCCCTAACCCCTCCAGCTTGGCGATCGGCCATGGGGGGACCCTGGATGCCTGCCCCCAGACCCAGGAGATGCCAGTTACCGAGCTGGGGGCCCGCACGTTCCCCAGCAAACCCAGAAGTGGACTGGAAGTGGGGTCCCCCCTGCACTCCCGTAGGATGCTCCATCCACCCCACCATCACAGCATTCATGAGCTGCCTGGTTCCTTGAGGTATGTAGAAAAAACATTTAAAACTGTGTCTATGTCCAAATCATCAAATCTTTCTGAATCTCTCTGATTCGCTTCGGAGAGATTAAAGGGTTTCCTGATTCTATTTGGATTTGGAGATTTGGCAGGGAGTGCAGGGGGTTGTGGGTCAGGAATGAGGGGCACCAGCTGGGCTGGGGAACTGCAGGCTAGCTAGGAATGAGAGGCACTGGCAGGGCTGGTGGGGCAGGGGGCTTCAGGTTGAGAGTGAGGGACATAGGCAGGGCTGGAGGGGTGGCACAGAGGCTTGGCTGTAAAGCATGATCATGTTTTCTGTGTGATTGTTGTATATTGTGCCTCCTGCAGAACTGGAGAAGACCATGTCCCATTCCCCCTCAGACCATTACCGTAAGATTCCTCAATAGAATCTGTAAAACCAGTTGAGTGACTCTGGCCTAATCCTGGAGTGGTGACCCCCTTTGAATTGCTTTGTCTTCATTAACAATGCTCCAAAGAAGCTGCTTTTCCGCCCTGGATGAGGGCACCAGCAGGGCTGGGGGGCAGGGGCTGCTCTCTCATCAGTCTGTGCCTTGAGGCAGACCTCTGAACCTGGCTTGCCAGGAGTTTGAACAGACACCAGCCCAGTTCAATAAACCATTCTGTGACGTGACTGTTCTGTGGTCAACAATATTATTGTTTTCTTGTTGCTTGCCCTGTTAGGAATAGAGGAAGCCATGCCCTAGCAAGCAGTCCACAGAGACAAATCCCTATTCCTGCATTACCTTCCGCTATGCCAAAGACTTACCCATAACTACCCAACTCATACCACATGCACCCAGTGCTACATGTTAGGGTTCTCTCCAGAATTGGCAAAAGCCTGCTTAGCTGTGACCTGCACTTGGCAAGCCTTGCACTTTATTTCCTCTGTTCATCAGTCAGCCACCCCGCACATTTCATAGATTCATAGATGTTAGGGTCGGAAGGGACCTCTATAGATCATCAAGTCCGACCCCCTGCATAAGCAGGAAAGAGTGCTGGGTCTAGATGATCCCAGCTAAATACTCATCTAACCTCCTCTTGAAGACCCCCAGGGTAGGGGAGAGCACCACCTCCCTTGGGAGCCCGTTCCAGACCTTGGCCACTCTAACTGTG